TTGCAGATACTAATTCAGGCACTATCTTTGCAATGGAAAATGGAGGCCTTTTTACCTGATTATAAGCTGCAGAAACAAGTAATTATTTTTAGAGTGATTTTTGTATGCAAATATTCCTAGGAAATAGCTGTGGGAGAACAATTTTGCTATTTGAGGGGGTTATTTGAACTGTGCTGACATTCTGAATAACTAGTCTTGTGCATACGGAAAAACTAAGATAATTAAGGCATTTTGTTTCAATCCTAAATATTGTTTGAACTTGCTGTTTATTCACCACAAAATAAAACTGAGATTTCTGAAATAAAACAAATAAGAACTCCTTTTTTAAAAAATAAATATCTGAACTTCACAGATCCTCTTTGTTTTATTTCTTTTAAAGGAAATTTCAACAAAACCTAAATGATTTAAGAAACATCAAACAACTACATTTGCTGTCAGAAATGTTTTGATTGAAAACATTACATGCTTTCAATGGCACCCAGAATTCCTACACACCTGAAACAGGACTTCAGTGAATTCTCCTGACAGAAAGACTAAATTACAGAAGTGGTAGGAAAGCATTTGAAGGGATAGATATGAATTAGTAATACATGAATTAGTAATTATTGTGACAAAAATGTGTCAGTAATTCTATGTTCCCTTTAGATAAAACCAAGGTTTTTAGCAGGTCATCTCCAGCTCCTTGGTTTTTTTTCCCAAATTCTCCTTTGATGCAACACATACATTGCATGATGGAGCAACATGACTTGTTATCTTTCTTTAAAGGACAGGCTCATTTGAAATCATCAGCAGGAACATTGTAATTTGTGTTTCAGTGCTTCCAAGCCACTTTCCCATTTAATATAATAATTTCATGTAAGTTCATATTTTATTTTTTAGAGTTCCTAGCTCCCTACTTGGAATCAAATAGTCCTAAATTATCTTCTTTATTTTTGATTCTCTAATAGTACTTATGACACAGGCTCAGATTTTGATAACAAATTATACAAATTTGCACTTGGCTCTCCTTTTGCAACTAAGGTATCTTGGATACTTCTAGTGAGGCTAATCATGTAATTTCTGAAACAGAAAAAAGCAGGAAGTTAAATAAAAATAGAATGTCTATAAAGGCAGTCAGAAAAGTTGCAACCCCCCACTCTGGCATTGCAAGCCTTTGAACTTGCAGAATTTCAGAGATCAGCTTCTGTGCTTATGCCTCAATTCAGCTGGGCAATGAATAAAAAGAAAATTCACTGGAGCAGATAAGAGCCCAAGCAGCTATTGAGTGAGAGTGTCCTAGAAAAGGGAAAGCCAGGACTAAAGTCCCTTACTTCTGAAAAAAAAAAAACAAATAATGTATTTCTCTTTCCCTTTTATCTTTTAAGACTCCATGTGCCAAGTCCTATTTCAGATTCTTAATGTATTTAACTATTGGGAGAGGTAACAGAATAAAAGAAGAGTGATTTGAAATAATAATTTCACTGATACAAAGAACCCCCTGAACCCAGCACGTTTTCCCTTCAAACCATGAATTCCCTGAATTTATTCATTATCAACCTCTTCTGAAAGCACAAGTTCTCTTCCTGAAGACATTCATCACTGATTACTGTCTGAAACTACTGCCAAGAGCAGGTTATTTCACTGAGCTCTTGGGACAGATGACATCTCTCCAGAGAAAATGGCCAAAGTCTCCATCATCATCATCAGTGGAAGCAGCTCAAGTTTGACTGATCAGGGGCAGTGGGAGGCCACATGGATGCACACAAAGCTGAAAATCTAAACAAACCATTATGCTGATTAATTTTTATTTCATTGGCAAAATACAAACTTCAGCCCTTCCTCATTTCAAGCATGTTCTCCTTCTCACTTTGTAGTGTTTAACTTGCATAATTAATTAGCTTCAACTAGGAGAAAGAACTATGCAAAATACTTGAAAAGAGGGATAAGGACAAAAAAGCTGGATACACAGTTTTCAGGACTTCAAAGCAACAATGTTTTTTGCAGACACACAGCAGGGATTGCCTGAGGTAAAATAACTTTATTTGTGCAACAGAGACTCATCCTAAGTATTATTAAAAGGGCTGACTTGCAAAATAAAAAAGGTTTGATTTTAGTCTAAGAATTAATTATGGCAAATAAGAGAAGCATGAAGACTAACATGTTGATCTTTAAAGGTGAAAATCCTTTAAGGTAAGACTCTTACTAAAAATCAGTAACCTGAAGAAAAACATGACAAAAGGCAGATTTCTTTTCTGTGATCAGCATTAAAGTACAAAGTTTTGAGAATTATCTCCATCACTTTGCACTTTATATAGGACATGTACAAGAGCACGACAAGGTTTTAAATGCCTTTTCACTGAAACCTCAAGAAATACAGCTGATGGCAACACAAATAATGGCACAAAATAGCTTATCATTATTTTATAGTACTTTCAAGTCAGTAAAAAGTGTGTGTTGAATAAGGTCCCAGCTCTTAGAAACTTGCAGTGTGCTGAAATGTTGCAGTTTCCTTCTCAAATATTCTTCATCAACATGAGACAAGAGAGAGCAAACCAAAAACCTTTCCAAGTTATACCTGAGCATTTTCTGAACAAAAGAATAACAGCCTGTACTTCACACTCACCAGTTCTCTTGATGTTAATAAAAGTAAATTATTTACTCACCTTTCTGTAAAGCAGTGAATAAAAATATCATTAGTATTAATGAAGCATCTTTAAAAATCATCACTATGTTTTAAAGATCATCCCTATGGAGCTGTAGGTTGCTATTTACCAGATGGCTCACCTCTTAGCAGGAACTAAAATAATAGAAAGACTCTTCTATGTCTTCTAGGTATCAATTAAGTCTAAAATATTACTACTCATTTCTTAGTGCACTCTCAAAAACTCTTAAGAAGTGACAGAAATATAATTCTTCAAAGTGGTGAAGAAAAAACCCAAAAAAAACATAAACATACCAACCCAGTAATAAAAACTATTTAAGACCATGGTAGCACACAAAATATGGCAAGAATACCAGAAGAACTGGCTCTAAGCAAACTTTAGTCTGGAAGTTAAACTAAGTCCAAGCTTCAAGCAGAATGAGGTTATAGAAATATCTCCCATGAACAACAGTGGCCAAAGAAACTGGGAGTAAAAAAGGAAATAGCAAACTATCATTTTGGAGCTTTATTTCTTACAACTTGAAATTAGTTGGTTTTTCATTTTGCTTACTACTACATGTGTATACTGTAAAACTGTATACCACTGAGAGGATTATTATTTTTATTACAGTTAAACTCAAACTGTCAAAAAAGCTTCAATATTTCTTCTAGTAAGATAGGATAGTACATTAAAGTAAATCCAATTAGAGTACCTTGAAGCAAGTGTGAATTTTTTACTGAGTTATTTAATAATTAATCTTAAATATCCCAGGAGGGAAAAGCATTTTTTATTTCCTGACATTTTTTTCCACTTTTCTGAAACTTCAGCATCACAATTTTGTGTCAAATAATAAACCCTTAATGCAGGCCTGCAGGCAAATTCTTGCACCAAATGAAACTTCAGTACTTTGAATATTAATGGCAGTAACTGCATTTCTGTGTATTTCTACAAAAGCCCATAAAAGACATGACTGCCTTTTGCACCTCATTGCAAGTTCTAGCCTGAGAAGATGAGATGATATAATCTTCTTTCTCCCATACAACCTCTTTTTTTTTCCACTGAGTATTTTGTCTTGTCTTCTCCTCAATGAGGTATCTGAGAGACCAAAAGAGATTTCTTCCCTACATAAACTAACTTCAATTTCAAGTTACACTCCAACATCAAGGCTGAATTTAATCTTTGCTTCAATGTAGGCAATACTGCCTAGTGTTTCAGCTTTTCTGCAAGTTTTTCTTTTAAAGTCTTGAACTATTGATGTAAACAATTGAAAACACAGTGAAATTCCCAGAGACTTCAGCATGTGAGAAGACAAAACTGATACTGATAAAAGTTCATATTGCAAATTCGAGGTGAGCTACTGATCTAAACCCTTTGATACTGAAACAATATCCATAATAAAAATGCTTTTCTTCATCTGCCAAGTGAAAACCACGTGTATTTCTAAAATGAAATATTCCATTTCCACAAAGGTAAATAATTTGATAACAGAAACCATCTGTCTGATTTTTCTGTCCAAGCACTCAGACAGCACTTGCACAGCTTTAGCAGTTTCACAAGTATGAAGAAAGGAAGATTTTTTTAACTTAAGACAGGTCTGATAATAAACCTGAGGCACACGAGCCCAGCTTCATTCTTTGGACTCCAAGAGAGCAGATAGCCACTCCTAGAAACAGAGACCAGAGAATTTGGTTCCAAAGTCACTTAAGCAGTCATCTAGAGAAAAATGAAGAGCTCTCAAAGCTGTGCTGCCAGCCTTTGAAGAAATGTAGCAGGGATTACCTAAAAGATGATCAAGCTAACAGGACATTTGAATATTTTAACTCTGCAGTTTGCCATCAAGATGGTTTTCCAAACAGAAGAATGTAAATTTTCTACACATGAAACATTTAGTTCTTTCTCTCAATCTTGCAAATGCTGTTTTTGTCACAAGCTTTCAAAACCTACAAAAAAATTAATCCTAAACTCTTAACACCTATTTAGAAGGTAACACCCTCTTACTGTTCACATGTGTTACATTTTCACTGCATCTCAACAAACACAGAAAAATTTTCTTATTCATTCTCATGGCGATGTAGCAGTAAGCTGAGTCACAGTATCATGATGTGAACTAGTTCCTTCCTCAGGAGAGGCTCTGAAACACCACTCCCCCTTTTGGTTCTGCATGCAGACAGCAGTGGTAATTCCTTATGAAATTATTCTAATTAAAACCAAGCAGGTTCATACTAGATTTCCTCAAGTTAACTCTGACTAGTGGCTTTACACAGACCGTACATCTTTGCTGAAATGATCAAAAGAGAAAATTCCTTTAAGCAGTTAAAAAGTACATTCTCCACTCAGAGGCATAAAAGCCATTTATATTCCACTTAAATCCTACCTCTAATGCCCAAGGTGTGCTGTGTCATTTCTTCTGGCTCTTGCATGTAGTACTTCAGTGCATCTGTCACTGCCAACACCTACAAGTATGAAACAAGAAGCACTAAAACAAAAATACTCTCATTCTGCAATGCTTTAATGTGGGAAGAAAGCTGGATGGTATGCCTGCTACTGGTACACTTCTTAGAGGCATTCAGGCCTTTAAAAACCTGACTCCTCTCAAAACTGAAGACCAGTCCCTCTCCCTCAAAATTTACACAGACTAACACATTCTAGATACAAACAAATAACTTTTCAACTCTAACTAGTGGGTAAATACACACCAATTTGACAAACCTTATACCAAGTAGGATTTTTTTTAAGATAAACCACAGCATTTCACATACTTTTGTGACTTTTTCTCTCAGATTAATCCCTCACATTTATCCTTTTCAAGCATTCTGCTAAAGAAGCAGGTTTCTCATTGTACCTTGCAAGACATACTGCCCTTCCTCAAACGCTTTCATTTTCTCCAGTGGAAATATAGTTAGTATGCCATTAGCTACAACTCACAGAGTCAGACTGGAAATTCTGAACACCAGTGCAGAGACCAGCCTCTGTCAGTGAGGCAAACCAATCTCAATTCTACATTGCAAGTCATCTTTCAGCAGCACCAGCAAGGAAGTGATTTTCATATAAAAAGTCATGCCTATCTCGTGCAAATAGTCTAGATCAACAGAGCATCATAGAAAATAAAAAGCAACCATCCATCTACCTGATTAGACCACGAGTCTTTATAGTTTATCAAAGGTATTTTTGTAATTCAGTTTGCAAATCATACTCGTAACTGCAAATCACATGAGTGTGCTAGGCTGTGAACACAGCCTGACTGAGAAGGCAGCCAGGGCAGCTTCCTCCTTGTTCTTGGAACACCTCCTGATCTTTGAGAAGAACAGGTTGTGCATCATGTAGACCACACACAAAGATTTGTCTGAGTGAAAACAAGGAGGAAAAGGAAGATACACGGTGAAAAGATACAAATGTAGAATGGTGTGTAAAAACACCCTTCATAACTCACCTCCTCTTGTAATGCAACACAACAGAATCTGGATCAAGCCCAAAGAGGAGATGTTCTTACACATTCTTTTCCTCTAAATCAGTATTTTCTGCAGGACTTTACTGAAAGAGAAAGCATTCAAATTAAAATCATCAGACTGATGTATTAAATCTTTTCTAATACTTTTTAAATTTAAGTTTTAAAGTAGTTAAGGAAGCAGAAGCTTTTGAATTTTCTGTATTGTCCTTCAACAGCTTTTTATGGCAAAGACAGATTTAAGGAACATGGAATGACAAACTGGAAGAAAGTTCAATTTCCTCTCAGAACCAGGGTGTCAGCAGAGCTGATACTCAGCCATACCAGCTTACATCTCTTCTTATCCATCCCTGTCTCAGAGTATTTCACTTTGCAAGCAAGCACAAGGCAGAATCAGTTTTAAAACAAACAAAACCAACAAAAATCCTCACAAACATTTTTTTGCTTGAGTTTCTACTCAAATGGCTCCAAAGTAGTAAATCACTTCTTTTAAGTCTTTAACACCCTCCATAACACAAATGCTGAAATACATTTGGATCACAAAAACACTGGAACATTGCATTTTACAGTGATGAGCTACCCTTCCTAAGATTGGATCTCTCATCACCACAAAAAGAGCTGGGGGTGGTTATACAAGAAAAGACATGGAAAAAAGAACACGAGAACATTCCCCCCAAGACTAGACACGGAGATTAAGTGTGTCTGAACTGACAGGAAAATACTAATTTATGCCACATACATTGATCCATTTTTCATTATACCAAAATTCAGTTAGTAGGGCATAGACACTGGATACATCTCTTACAAATAAAGCCATAATATAATCTAGATCTTAAATAAAAGAGCTTAAGACAGAAGACAAAAATAAAGCTATTCATCTCATTAGGTATGTTCTAACAGTTAATATATAACAAGCTGCTGTCACCATGTCAAATGTTGAAAAGGCTGATCTGAATAAAATGTAAGGCTTTTAAATAACAAAAATAAACTGTTTCACTTATGTTTCATTTGCTGAGTTGCAAAAAGCAGAAGTACTACATGACTTATGTGTACATACATCTGAAGCGATTTGATTTGAATACTGAACCTTAACAGTGCTAAAAATCTGAAAGGTTGTGTTTAATGTCTTCTTCGAAGCTCACAGTGGCTGCTTTTCATGAATTGTTAATTCCTTACATCATTTAAATACTCTCTCCACATATTAGAAAGCAGCACTGGTTATGAAATAACAATTTATATTGACTACAATGACTACATTAACATTTTTATAATTTATGTGACAACATATATTCTATGTATTTCTACTTTAGAGATTCTATAAAATTGTATAAACACCCTTTCTTTGAAATGACCAAATCAGTATCCTGTTGTCATAACAGCAAGCTGATTTTGAAGCCCAGCCCCAGGACATGGCTGTGACTGAGTCCAGATAGGTAAATTACCTCATCCACCCATCTGCTTCTGCCATGGGACAGAAGGGAAAAGCCTGAAGAGTATCTGTTCCACCCACACCTCAGTCTAATACTTTACATGTCTACAGACTAAAGCTTCAAAAAAACCACCATCTCAGCTATGTTCCTTCTCTTCCAGTTCTTGGAGATCCCAATCAATGGGAAAAAAAAAAAACAAAACCCAAATATAGAAAAAGAATGAAGCTCTCCAGCCCCTGATTATTCAAAACATGTATTTTTAATCAAGAATATATGTATGGTTTTCAATACAATATGCAATTAACCTGTGAAATAACACCAGAGAGTAATAGACAGCATCCTGCCACTGATGGTTCAATTCCAAATTCATTTACTATGACTCAGGCATTCTGGAAGGCCAGGAGAACAGGTAGGCTTAAGTAACATTTAGCAACATTTACGAACTGCTGTAAATCGATATATTTGGCCAAAGTAGTAAAAATGCAAAGCCATTCAATACTTGCATAGTACTGAACTATCAGGTATACATTTGACATGGACTCTGCTCTGGGAGAAGTTCATTCCATAGAAAGAAATCTGTTTTGTGATCTCAGCCTTGCTGTATCAAGCATATCCAACCATCAAAACAGATGGTGATTGCTGTAAATAATTCCAGCAATAATTTTCCTGGAAATGCTTCAACTAATACCTTTGCTCAAGAATCATCACTAACATTAGACTCACACTGAATAGAAATTTTGTCTTAATACTGTGAGCCAATTAGCCTATTTTGATCATTTTTATTCATAGTCTCTCAAGTCACAAAGATTCAGAATTAATAAGGAGTTTCACTAAGGAAATCTGATGCCCCTGCAGAGTGCAATGAGAGCTTTTAAACAAGAGAGGCCCTCACAGCTCTCCTAGAAGCAGCAACACAAGTGAGAGCTATGACACATTTGCACAAAGCCTGACTCAACACTGTGCACCTGCTCTCTTTGATGTGCCTTGCATTGGAAACATAAGTCAAAGTCTCCCAGATATAGAACTTCATTTTCAAAACCATGATCAACTTTTTCTGATGCATTGTCATGAACCAACTCATGTCCAACTCATCACAATTTTTCAATACAAGCTCAAGTTTCACAGGTTTTTTTTACCCACTTGCAACTGAACAGACAAATATTCTTTCAGTGGCCTTTTCAGATGGCCTTTCCATCCACATCTTTCTCCAAAAAACACATTAACTTTGAGTCATAAAGCTAAATATGTGAGAAAGCAAAACTAGCTGGTGTGTTGAATTAGACACAAGAATAATTCAGTCTCGGCTTTCACTTCATCTTGCTGCCCACACTAACAGTCATTGTCCCTCTTGCCTGATGAAAAGCATTTATCCAATACATCAAAAAGGTTTTCCTTTGCCTCCAGAATATAATAATGCCATCTTTTCCTTTAGCAATCAGAAAATGTTGCCACTAGTGAAATAATATTACTAAAATTAAATATGCAATAATCAATAACAATATTTTAAAAGAGGATATAAGTTTTAAATAATTATTTAATATCTTCAAGTTTCCCCAGTTATCTTTTTGTAACATGGAATATGAACCTTGATGGAGCCATCAGCTGGATGAGCTGATGACTTCCTTTTACTTGGCAAAGGGACAGGAAAGAAAAAGGGAACCAACATTTCCTACAAAGACTACAGAGGCAAAATGACCAGCATTCAAGCCTCAACGTCAGGTAAGTTCTCAATGCAGAAAACACTTTGCTTCCATATAGTTTTCAGTTTGCTTTGCTTCTGTGAATGAGCTCACCTGTTTTCCATGTGTGTAACAGATTCTAATAGGACTTAACTATTTGTATCAAGAAAAAATATCTATGCTTATACTATACAAGAGTTAATAAATTCCAATAAACCCACTACAAACTCTTCATTTAATTAATCCATCCCAAAAAAAAAACTCCTAACCAATACTTCTTCAACACTGTTTTGCATGAAATAACAGTAGCCCAAGCCCTCCACCTCCTAAGACCGTATGGAGCGAGCAGCTGGGCTGGGATCCTGCGAGAAGGAGGGGTTTGGCTACAGAGAGCAGGAGCCAGCCAATCCCTGATGAGAACGTCGCAGGCAGCTATTGGCCAGTGAGCTGGGCGGTAACAATGACAGCCAATCAGGTTTGAGTGTGGGCTCTTTTGAATAGCCAATATACAATGGGCAGGAACTTCCACTGTGGTGTCTCCTCTTCATCTCCCCCTGCCGCGACAGTAACCAAATCACAGCTAACCAGCTTTGAACACAGAACCTTTTGAATAGCCCATTTAAGAACTGGGCACACAATTAAAGCTCTCTCTCCACCACAAGAGCTCCCATGTCGTGTCTTCTCTCCATCTCCTCTGACCACAAGATTGAATACAGCTATTAAATTTTTCCTCCACTTGCAGAAAGGACTTGCACATTTTATTAGCTAAAACTTCACTGTAATACTCAGGTCTGATTTTCAGACAAAGTCTAGTTCACAGAAACCAGAAATATGTGCATGTATGTATTAAAGAAAAAAAAAAAAAAAAAGATGTAAAATTCTATCTCCACTCCCCTCATTCTCCTTTCAGAGTCTGAGTTCTCCCACCTCTCTGGGGTCCATACACACAGGAAGAGAAGTATATCCCAAACAGCCTATAGCCTCAATTTCAGAAAGAGAGGTGTTGGAGAGTGATTTAATTACTGTGAAGATGCTTTGTCCCATTAGGGTGACCCAGAGTACACAAGGAATTTGCACTGTCAACACAGATAGGAAATTTCATCAGCTCTCAATCAGTTAAGATTTCACCTTTGACTTAAATTTCCTTTTACTCTATTATCACAACCAAGCATTTTATTCTACAGGGGGTCTAAACCATTCATGCAAATTTAATTTATGTCAATTTAAACTGTGTCAGAAAGTTAATAATGTAGGAATAATGCATGTGTCTCTCACTGAGTTTAATCAGTGCCCATTAACGTGCCTCTTATTTTGCCTTTTTGTTATTCATGCATTCTAATCTGAAACTACATTTACATTGACTGGAAACAAACTTACCCAGCTCATCAGAGCTCAAAGTAAAAACCTAACTTGCCCAAAAGACTGATTTTATTGAAGTGATTGTATTTTTCTTAATAGAAATAAATTACAAAAGATAGATGCAACAATTGCAAATATTTGCAAGTGCACTTTGATTACATCTGCCAAAAAAAATAAACATCACTCAATTGTTTATTTCAGCAAACTCAGGTTTTGAAATGCAGTGCAAAAATAAAAGTATTAGCATTAATAATTGCTAACAAAGGAGAAGAAAATCTCACTAAATGCGGGGACATCTCATTTTAACTGTAGGAAGGGGAAACAGAGCATTTCAGTGCTCAATTGTATTTCAAAGAGTTCCTTCTAACCCACGATGCCAGAAGCAATGGATTAACCTACTTTCTGTGGGCACAAGACTAGAATCTATTGCTGAGTGCAGCTGTCAGAACCACCTGCATATCTTTGGCTTCAGTCAAGTCTCAGAAGTAAGCCAATGGGTGATTTCAGGATGCTGAAGTGTCCATTTTAATTTGTTTGTAAAAAACAAAGTTAAAATATGACCAGTATAAACTGGAAAGGTTGGGAGCTGCTAGTCCACCTAGAGGCTTTAACTAGACCAAGCTGGTATAATTTGTGCTTCTCATATTTTTCCAGCATATGCAATGATGTCAGTTTGACCTTTGTTTTCTCGTTTGCCTAAAATGGCCCTTCTCAGCTGAATTCAAGCACATTTGGGTTAGCCAGGGAGCAAGCTGCTGCTGCCAAGAGTCAATGGCAAGCAAAGCCAGTTGTGTGAGGAGAATCTAAGTCTCACAGGTAAAGAAAAAATAAGCTAGGGACTTCCATCTACCAGCAAGATACCTTCAAACAGTTCTAATGAGTACTGCAAAGTTCAGGTGCTTATCCAGACTCTTCCAGATATCCCTCAAATTTAAACCTGGAACAGTAATTAGGCTGGCTTTTCCTGAAGGTAATCTATTCAAACTCACCACTCTCTGCTTCAATGTTCCTTAAATATGAGAGAAACTCCCCTGGGTTTAGCTACAGACTAATCTATCCAGACACTATGGACTATTATCCAGATACTCTCCAGAATACACAAGAAACACAATTTCCTTTACAGCACTTGTGCATTCATTCAAAAGACCCCCGAAGACTATTCTGTTTCCACTTTTCTTCTCACTGACAACTCAATGTAGTAGCCACCAGGCTGAATGGACGTGTTTCACAAAACCTTCCTCAGCAGACAGGACCTGTTCCTGGGAAAATGCCTTTGTGCATTCTGGGCACACACAGAGCAACATTCATTATTCCTTTTCTGAATCAAGAGTTCATGAAACCTGAGCAGAGTTTGGCAGGTTCACAAACATAGTCTGAGAGTAATAACAAACATTCTGAAAAGAGCTCCAATATTCAGAGATCAAAAGTTAGAGGAACAAATAAGTTGGCTTAAAGTTTCCCAGATAAAGTGAAAATGCTGGAAAAAATATCAAGGATGACAACTAAGTTTATAACTACATAGAAGTATTAGAATGGCTTGGAAAGTAACATTAGAAATACTTCCCTTAGTTGTTTTTAAATTCCCACATTACTGTAGAAATGAAGATTGTTCTAATGGCTATATCTCAGCTATTTAAAAATCACGCTGAACCCAGCCCCTGTTTCTTGCCTTGTGTTGTTTGTATGACAGGACACAGCTCAAGGTGCTTACACAGTAGCTGTAAATGGTTCTGCATCTGTGCTACAGCACTTCTGCCCTGACAGCCCCCCACGCAGATGAGAGGAGCTGCAGAGAAGCCGCTTTCCCTCTGTTCAGCCGCGCTCTGTGTGACAGAGCCCTGAACACAGGTTTGTGATCAGCCGTGTGCTGCAGACACTGTGCCAGCTTTAGGAACTAGCTGAGAGCTAAGAACCAGCACAACAGCTGCTCCTAGTACATATCAAAGCGAGCTATCCTTTTAAAAAACTGTTTAGGAACTTCCCACTAAGAAAATGAAGGCTTGTGTGCTCAGACATGATGAGTGTTCACACAATCCAGTCTGCCAGATCTAGTTTGTGAGCAAGCTTTCAACAGGCAACAGCACGGAAAACCCACACTTCTATTTCTGTAAGGACAATCTGATTTTAATATTACACATTGTTACAGCTCAGCAACCACATGCCATTATTTGTATCTTCATGGCAGAACCACGAAGGGACCATGGAGAGAACTGATGCCAGCTCTGGACTCCTGGGACACATGGGATGTGCAGCCCTGCGGTCCCACAGAACCTGGCCCAGGCACTCAGGTGGCAGCACAAGCCACCTGAGCCAAGGTTAAAGGCACTGCTCTGCCCAACCCAGCATCCTCCTCCCAAAAACCTGAGGACTTCAGAGTCTCAGATTTGTCTCTGTTACCCTGGCTCAGGAGTAGGACTGCAGATTCAGCACTAAAGCAGCCCCTAACTGGACACCAAACCCAAATCCACATCAAGTAATTTGGATGTGGTTCTACCCCAATCCAGAAAGACACCGTGCTGCAGTCTCCTGCTGCTGCCATGAAGAAAGCTCAACATTTAAGCAAGATAAACAAGCTATTCAGCTTTTGCTTATTCTTGTTGATCATCCCTAACTTTTTAAAACAACAGTTTATGGGCAATAAAGTTTAAGACATAACTTCTACTCAGGATTCATACTTTGTGTCCCACAGGACAATACTTCAATATTTTAAAGCTGATTCACCTTGCTTCTGAGGCATTTGTCTTCATTTACTCTAACTGGATGGAGAAGCTCTTCATCTAATGCATCTTATTTTTACAGATAAGTGTAAACACAATTTATAATCTGAAAGATGCCAGGAGCTTTCTTATTTGTAACATGAGCACAAACTCCTACCTGAGATTTGTGTTATTATTCACACATTAAATTGGTCGGTTTGTGGGGTTTTTTTAATTTATTTTACAACTTAAAAAAAAACACGACTGAAAATAATAATTTAAAAATAATTAATTACGTATTTTTCTTACTTGCAAAATGATTGTTAATTTAGGCACAGAAAAATATTATGTTATTAAAACTACTGAGTGCTGTCTTGGGTGAAATAACTCATCTATTAGCCTGGGATCAATGCAAATTAATCCACTCAGCACCATGAAAAAAGCTGCTTCTGCTCCTTCTGTTGCATCAGAGTAGGAAAAGGTCTGATAAAGAATGGATGAATAGGCAGAACAAATAATTTTTCATACAACTTGCTTTTAGCAGCAGAGAGTAATTAATTTAGATAAATTATATCAAGTGTCCTGCATTTTATATGAGAATTTCATTAAAGTAATGATGCTTTGATTAAGTCCCCCTCTAACATGGATTATCTGCAGGAGGAAATTAGCACTTTCGTTCCCCTTTTCTCTTCAACACCGTAACAATCCCTGGATATCCTCAGCTCAGAGGCACTGGCCAAAGAAATCTCTGCTCTAACTCTGAGCCCATGAAGAATGTGTAAAATTACTACTGGTGTAGTATCACAGAGCAGGGTACTCCCACCGAGGTCTTTGGAAAGATTCCTGCCCAAAGAATTTAGAAATTAAGACCTTTAGTAATGCCACAGTCACACAAGCATCATAGTCAGAAGAGTTGGTTTGGATGTCACAGGTTTCCTACTTTGAACATTTATACAAAATTCAACTCTTGCAGAATCAAGACCTGAAGTCCTTTTCTGGAAAGATCCCTGTAGAGGAGATGTATGATTACAAGAGCCCATTTATTTTCTGGTTATTTCTCCATATGATTTCTGTGGACAATGCCAGATCCTTGGCATGCTGATGAAAACTCAGTGCAACCAACCTGTCTGTTGCTATGCAGGTATTTCCACAGCCAGGTTACAGAGATACAAAGCTTTATGAAACCAGAATGAAAAACATTCAGTCATTTACTGCAAATCCAGTCAGAACAAAGTCACTCTGTATGTCCCACCCAAAACCATGGAGTCAGGCTATCAGATTGCTACAAT